TGCTAGAGATGGTGAGCATTTTTTCGTGTAATTGTTGATTGATTTTATATCCTCCTCTGAGAAGTGTCAGTTCAGATCCTTGGCCCCTTTGTTGATTGGGTTATTTGTTTTCTTGTTTAATTTTTGAGTTCTTTGTATACTCTGGAGATTAGAGCTCTATCTGAAGTGTGAAGGGTAAAAATTTGTTCCCAGGATGTAGGCTCCCTGTTTACCTCACTTATTATTTCTCTTGCTGAAAAAAAACTTTTTCATTTGAATACATCCCATTTGTTGATTCTTGATTTTAACTCTTGTGCTATAGGTGTCCTATTAAGGAATTTAAAGAAGATTACCACTAAACAGGGAAGAGAGGTGGGAGGGAGAAGGGGAATTGCACGGAAAATGGAAGGAGACCCTCATTGTTATATAAAATTGCATATATGATGGTGTGAGGGGGAAGAAATAAAAGAAAAATGTGTCACAGTAGATTGGGTGTAGAGAGGTGAGGGGAGGGGAGGGGAGGGGGGATAGGGAGGGCAGCACAATACAACAGACACTAGTATTTCTCTACGTATAAACGTGGCTGTATAACCAATGTGATCCTGCAATCTGTACACATGGAAAAATAAGAATTTATACCCCATTTGAATCAAATGTATGATATGTCAAGATCATTGTATTGTCTTGAGCAACTAATTAAAAAAACAAAGAAAAGGGGATTATGGGTGATTTCTCTTTCCCAAATTTTCTTTAACATTGTTGAGCTTACATTATAAAATTAAAATTTTCATATTTTTTATAATTTATCACAAAGTATAATTATTTCATTCTGTTTAATAGTTCCTAAAAAAGTTTTGCACGTCAGAATCAATAATCTTAGTTTTATCAAATTTATTATTTAAAGGAAGAAATGCGTTTTTTTTCATTTCTGTTCTAAAATATGTGACTTTTATGTTGTCTTAACATTTTATCTCTAGGGCGTCATTATGGAGCAGTAACTTGTGAAGGCTGCAAAGGATTTTTTAAAAGAAGCATCCGAAAAAATTTAGTATATTCATGTCGAGGATCAAAGGACTGTATTATCAATAAACACCATCGAAACCGCTGTCAATACTGCAGGTTACAGAGATGTATTGCGTTTGGAATGAAACAAGACTGTATGTATTAGCTTTAAAGGAGAAAATACTTTTTAAGAATTCCAGCAAACTAGAATTATATTCAAATTAACATTAAAAATGTCAAATATATATACTTTCTCATTTCAGTTTTCCAACTAAGAATATAAGAATATGTACATATGTGTATTATTCAACAAACATTTTTTGACTGTTAATATATCTAGTATATATTTGTAATTTGAAGTTGGCACCCAAAAAAATATGACTAACTGGATTCGAGTTTACTTTTTTTTTTTCCCCTAACAGTGCCTGGGGATCAGACCCAAAACCTCACATGTGCTAGGCAAGCACTTTACCTCTCTAAGCTATAAACCCCAGTTTGCTTTTTGATTAAACTACTAAAAAGTGACTTAATAAGATAATGATAATGGCTAATAAAAGCTCTCAGTATACAAATACTACACTTAGCATATATATTAATTTCCTCTCAGGGCAGTTCTCTACAGAAGATACTATTGTTATCCATTTTACATTTTACTAGACAGATGTTGAAAAACTTACCCAAGGTATACAATTAATAAGGAGCACAGCTTGGCTTTGAATGCTGGCAGTTGTTTTTTAATTTTTTTGAATGCTGGCGATTTGCCAGAAAATGTACAGTTTACAACCATACTACTTTATCTATTAAGTAATACGAAATAAAATTCTTACAAGTACTATGTATACTTAAGTGAATTTAATATATGTTACAGTATATATATTATAAATAAAGACCAGACAGTTGAAATATTTTAAAAAAAAAAAAATCTCCTTGCCCTTAGCTTAAAAAAGATCTATCTTAGACTTTTCTGTGTTTATTAGTATAATTTTTAATTGGTCACATTTTATTTCATTTTTATTGTTTAAACTCATAGATACATGAGGGATTCCTAACTTTGTGTCAGTGAGCTTTTAAAAAATAAAAATTCCTTAGTATTTCTACCACAGGAGTGGAGGAGAGACAGAAAACTGAGAGATGCAACTGGCTTATTTTACAAATATGAAGCAATTTTTTAAAATTTGCTTGTATTTTAAGTATTGATGGTTATCTGTGGAATTCAGTGTGGTGGCCTTGACTTCCATTATTAGCAGGATTGTTGACCTAAGCTTACATTTATAATAGGCATGAGTTCTGTATTATGATATAATCAATCCATTTTTATAGCTGTTCAGTGTGAAAGAAAACCCATTGAAGTATCCCGAGAAAAATCTTCTAACTGTGCTGCTTCAACAGAGAAAATCTATATCCGAAAAGACCTTCGAAGCCCATTAGCTGCAACTCCAACTTTTGTAACAGATAGTGAAACTGCAAGGTATAGTGAAACAAACATTAAGTAGTTAGTCATTTGTTTTTCCCAGTGATACTGAGACATAAACTTATTTGTTACAGGTCAACAGGACTGTTGGATTCAGGAATGTTTGTGAATATTCATCAGTCTGGAATAAAAACTGAGTCAACTGTGCTGATGACACCAGATAAGGTGTGTTTAGGGCAATTTAAAGCTAAATTTTTAAAATATAATAATTCCTTTAAGAAAGGAAGGGAACTAACTTTTGTTTAATTACTGTCTGCACAGACACTGTGTTTTACTATTTGTCTTTGTATTAAGTGGTTATAACAATGTTGTATATTTAGTTTCTCTTACAAACAGGCCCAAAGGACTCAGATTGTAACTCAGAAGATGAGTATGCTATGCCCAGGCTTCAATCACCAGCACAAAAACTTGAGAATCTAGCTGTATACGTTGTTTCATGGAAGGAGAATATATGTGTCTTTAAGTTTTAGCTGAAAATTATAATACAACTGTTTACTCATATATAAGAAGGCTGTTTGGAGCTGTGGCTACAAGCATGGAGTACAGTCATATAGACTTGACTTCCTGTCCCGCCTCTGTTTTTTACTGCCTGATTTTAGAGGATCATTCTTTTGTTTATGATAGAGGGATGGTGATTCCTGTCTGACGGGGTTGTTATGAAGATTAAGTAAAATACACATGGAAGTAGTAGTCATGTAATTAATATTTATTAAATAATTATCTGCCTACTGATTAATTTGAGGAGAGCACAGAAATTGTTTGTTTTGCTATACATTCACCAAAATCAACTTCATTCACATAGAGAATCAATAGAACAAATGAAACAACAGAAACACAGTTATTATTTTAAGATTAAGAACAGTATGAGGGGTCTGGGGTTGTGGCTCAGTGGTAGAGCGCTCGCTTCACATGTGTGAGATCCTGGGTTTGATTCTCAGCACCACATAAAAATAAATAAGTGAAATAAAGGCATGTGTCCAATTAAAAAATAAATATTAAAAAAAAAAGAACAGTATGAGGGGCTGGGATTGTGGCTCACCTACCATGTATGAGGCCCTGGGTTCCATCCATAGTACCACATAAAAATAAATAAATAAAATAAAGATATTGTGTCCAACCAGAACTAAAAAATAAATATTAAAAACAGTATGAATAAAAACCATAAAGCAAAGTACTAATTGAAAAAATATTATTAAAGGATCTTGCCAGTAGACCATAGAAGGAGGTTTGGAAGTCCTCTCATTAGGTTTGATGGGATAATTTGAGCATTAAAGAAAGAATGTAACAAGGGGCTGGGGTTGTGGTTCAGCAGTAGAGTGCTCATCTAGCATGTTCGAGGTACTGGGTTTGATCCTCAGCACCACACAAAAACAAATAAATGTATTATTTTCAACTACAACTAAGAAAAGTTTTTTAAAATAATGTAACAAATTCAGATATCTAAAAATGTATTAATTGAAAATGATACGCAGGGGTTGGGGTCGTGGCTCAGTGGTAGAGCACTTGCCTAGCAAGTGTGAGGCACTTCGTTCAATCCTCAGCACCACATAAAAAAATAAATAAAGATATTGTGTCCATCTACAACTAAAAAAATATTTTAAAAGAAAATAATACTCAGGAAAATCTGTCGCCATTAGAAGTTGTTGAGGTATCAATTCATTGCTCTGAAAAATTGATGAAGAAAATGAAGCACTTCGTTATATTTACTAAGTGAAGAGTTAAGGGAAAAAATTGTTTCTAATGAAGTACAGCTAATGCATACAGGATATATTCTATAGTTGTTAGCAAACATAAAAAATGCAGTCAAATGAAGTGTTGTATAAGAAAAAGCCAACATCTTAACCCTGTATAAAGATTGTTCAACTCCAATAAAAAAAGAACATGGGATTGGATGATTTTTTTTTTTTTTTTGAAAAGGGAGTGTGGGGGTGTTTGAACCCAGAGGCTTAATCATGCCAGGCAAGCATTCATTTATCTTAGTGTACTTATAGCATTTTGTAATCTAGAACTGGACATTCAGATTTTAAAATAAATTGATGCCGATTTGTAGAATTTTAATACAATTTTTTTTTTTTTTAGGCTGAATCATGTCAGGGAGATTTAAGTACATTGGCCAGTGTGGTTACCTCATTAGCAAATCTTGGAAAAACTAAAGATCTTTCTCAAAATAGTAATGAAATATCTATGATGGAAAGTTTAGGCAATGGTGATTCATCTTTGTGTGAATTTCAAGAAACACAGAGCAATGGTGATGTTTCAAGGTAAGGTTTATCTTAATAAGTGTCTTTTTAAATGTTTTAGCATTTACTGGTATATATTTGTTTTAAACACTGTTGATTAAAGTTTCAGGAAATGGGTATTTATTTCTATTAGACTTAGAAAATTTAAAGTGTAGTAAGTTTTAACCGAAAAACTGCATTTAATATAAAATGTTGAGCAAATTACATTTTAAATAATAAGCAATAAGTGAATAAGATTAGAATGTATTCGTAAAATTTAGGAATATTTTCCCTCTTGAGTGGTAATTTGCATCTGATACTTTAATTGCTAGATTTTATCTTCTGTTTATGTAAGCACAAAATATTTTCTTTCTAAACAGTCTTATTCCACATACAATAATTTTTAGTGATAAAAATAAATGTAAAGACACCCAGTTGAATGAACTACACTTGAGGAAAATAATGCAGAATTCTGTTTTTTATTCTGTTAGTGTTAACACTCAGGATTTAGAAACCAAATTTCTTCAAACTTTTCTTGTAGTTCTGTCACCTAAAATATTAAATATTGTTCTGGGCTGTAGCACAGTGGTAAAGCACTTGCCTAGCATGCCCAAGACCCTGGGTTCAAACATTAGCACCAGAAAATAAGTAAAATAAAATATTGATAAACTGCAATTGAATCACAATAAGTACTTTATTTAAAATGAGATTTTAAGGAGCTCTAGAAGGCATATCATTGAAAAATATGGGGTGTTACTTTGAATAATTATTTGCTAATAGTTAATTATTCTTATTTCAAATGCTTAACAGTTTTTACATTTACCTATGTAACCACAGATTTTAAATTCTCTGAATTTGTAAGTCCCAACTCTGTAAATAGAGCACAAGAATTCCCCCCCTAAGATTTTTTTTAGAAGAAACTTAATTCCTTGATATTACATTAATCTGATAATATAGTGTTTCATACCTTACGTATGAAGTTTAATTTGTTGAGTTTGAAGAGAATCATACAAGTCATTAAAATAAACTGTTGATATAGCAGATATCTATTTTCTAAAGTTGTGGAGGTTGTTTTGTTTTGTTTTGTTTTGTTTTGTTTTGTGGTGCTGGGGAATTAAACCTGGGACCTCATGCATAAAGGCAAGCACTGTACCACTTAACACCACATACCCAACCTATTTTCTAAAGAATATTTTAGGTCTTAAATCTTTGTGGGGAAGGGTGGGCCTCCTGCATGCTAAGCAAATGTTCTATCACTGAACCACTAGGCTTAGGTCACAATTCCAGAATTTTCTGTAGAATTTTTATTTTACTCTTGGAGAAGATTAGTCAAGCTCACAGCTTCTGATGTCTCTTTTTAGGGCATTTGACACTCTTGCAAAAGCATTGAATCCTGGAGAGAGCACTGTAGAGGGAATGGAAGGAAGCGTACACCTAATTGCTGGAGATTCAAGCATAAATTACATCGAAAAAGAGGGGCCACTTCTCAGTGATTCTCATGTAGCTTTCAGGGTATTTCTATATGTTTTTAAATTTTCTTATTGTGTTATTTGATTCTGATGTTCCTTTCAAAAAATTCAAAATTTCAAAAATTTAAAAAAATGAAAGTGTGTTTGTTGTACTAAAAAATATCCCTGGTTAGAATTCCAAAACTAAAACTAATGTATACATCTGGCTAGAAAAGATGCTCAATAAAGCATCCTGTTATGATAGTAATTAGTGTGCTTAAGTCTTAAAAAGTTAGCTTTTACAGCTCTTTAACCATAATTGTTTTTTTATTTTGAAGTTAAAGCATTGGCTTTAATGATGTTTTAAGTGCACTGCTTTTTGTTCAATGCCTGGCTACTACTACTTTGGTGTAAATCAATAACTAAGAACCAGATATTCTGTGGTACTACAAAGAACTCCGTTTTTTTATCACTCTAATTAACTTTCAGTGTTGTTATAAGAAGGTATAAAATTTTAATTATATTAGATTTTTTTTTAATGCTACTTAATTTTAAAAATTTTTTAGTTGTGGATGGACACAATACCTTTATTTTATTTATTTGTTATTACATGGTGCTGGGGATTGAACCAAGTGCCTCACACGTGCTAGACAAGAGCTCCACCACTGAGCTTCAACCCCAGCCCTAGCTTTTGGTTTTTAACCATTTTGGAGGAGACACATTTATTTTTTTGCCCTAAATATATTCTTCAGAATGGAAACTATACACATAGAATACTAGAAACAATATGTGTAGTATACTAAAAAGTCACTTTTTAGTATTTGTTTTGTTTTCAAATGTTATTTGTTCCAGAGTTATAAAAATGCTCACTATTGAGACCTCACTTTAAGAACCTATTATTTGGTGCTCCATCTTAACCACTCTGTATCTCTGCCAGCTGTGGCTGATGTTAGCAAGGTGTATGTAAAGTGATTGAATATACACGGGAGGTTTTCCTTAGCAATCAATGCAGGGCCTAACTATTCTGTAATGCTCATAATTACAGAATAGTTAGGCCCTGCATTGATTGCTCATAATTTTATGGTAGATTATAACAAATTTCTTAGGAAAACTTGCACAGTTATCATTATAAATAAGTGTATTACCAGTAGAAATAATGAACAGAAAATAAATACAACATTAGCCAAAACTGTGTATGATAATGTCTTTTTGTAAAATTCAGTTTATAGAAACAGCTAGAGAAAACGCATTGTGACTTTAATAATGGCAGATTTTTTGCTATAATTTTAATATAGTAAAATATATTAGTGAAGCCAATTTTCATATAAAAACTTACATGGAAAAACTCAAAATGTTTTATCTGTACTATGCATGGCATTTTAAAAATATTTATTTTTTAGTGGACACAGTATCTTTATTTTATATTTATGTGGTGCTGAGGATCAAACTCAAGTGCCTCAGGAATGCTAGGCAAGCATTCTACCACTGAGCCACAACCCCAGCCCCTATACAGGGCAATTTATTATGAATAATTAGTGTTATCTGCCGGGCAACGTGGTGTACACCTATAATCCCAGCAGCTTGGGAGGCTGAGGCAGGAGGTTTGGGAGTTCAAAGCCAGCCTCAGCAAAGCAAGGCACTAAGCAACTCAGTGAGACCCTGTCTTTAAATAAAATACAAAATATGGCTGGGGCTGGGGTTCAGTGGTAGAGTGCCTCAAGTTTAATCCTCAGTTACCAACCTTCCAAAATTAGTATCATCCTAAAAAATTATGCTAGGTATAAACAAGGGTGGAGCAAGGCAGATTTTGATTATTTTTTCTCAGTGTTGTTTTTATTCTAAATAGAAGATATTCTTTTGTTGGTTTTATTTTCTGCTCTTCTACTTAAATGGAAAGAAGGACATAATGAGACAAATGCAGGAAGAGGACCCAATTTGAGGAAAAAGGACAAAGGACTTGTTTAGAAAGAAGTTGTTCAACTTTTTTGTCTTTGATGTTGGTCCTCAAGATTTTTGCTTCCTTGAAATAAGAGTTTTAATTTTAAATAGATGAATTGGAAAAACTAGAACTTTGTTTTTCTTTCTGGAATTGGCTTTTTTCCATTCTATCTTTGACTGTTATACCCCGTGTGTCCTCAGAGTTAGCACTGTGAAGCTTCTTTGCTGCTGAAAAGGACAGCTTGTTTTGATTATTATTTACAGTTCTATTATGTCGAGAGTTTTATGTTTCCTTGATTTCTCTTAGTTCCTAGAGCCAGGTCATTTCATGGTTGGTTCTCTCATTGAAATTTACTGGTCATGACTTGAAGACTGATATCTGTAATGAGATAGCTCAGTTCTCTTATTTGCTAGGCTAAATTGTAGCATGTTCTTCAATTTTTTTACAGCACATTTTCACATACATTTCTTCCCTTAAGTCTCACTACAGTCTTCTGGGGACATTTGAATTTTTATTCTCACTTTGTAGATGAAGAAAGATATTAAGAAATTTTTCAGTGTCTTTTTCAAAATGACTACATAGTCAAGAAAAATAGTCTAATAATAGAAATAGAATAATAAATAGAAAAATAGAATAATAGAAAAGTAGTCTGATGAAACTGGAACTTAAGTATAGGATGATAATAATGTATAACAGTTTTATTAAGCTAGAGTCTTGGCTATGATTTCATATACCTATTTCACTTGATTGTGAAAATTTTTTTTAATTCTTTTTTTAATCAATTTATTGATTTTTAAAATAATAAATGACAGCAGAATGCATTACAATTCTTGTTATACATATAGAACACAATTTTTGTGAAAATTTCTTTTAAGAATAGTCAATATAGATAGTATTTCCATTTTAGAAATCAACTTATGAGACAGAAGATGATTTCCAAAACTTTTCTTCTTTTGTTTGAGTTATCTTAATATTAGAATCACAGTGTTTTTAGTAACCAGTGTTTGCATCTTAGAATTCCTTGTCATTCTCCCCATGCCTTATTCCTATCCATACCATAACTGAAATTTAACCTTTCTGGTATTTTTGAGTTTGTCCCTTTCTGCTTATTCCTGTTACCATATTTTAGACCTTTTAAAATCTCCAGCTTGAACTATTAACAGTAATATCGTTTCCAGTCTGTCTTCTTCATCTTGTCCTGTGCATTGGTATTAGAATGATACTTGCTTAAAAAAAAAAAAATCAATCTAATAATGCCACTTGGCTATTTGTAAGCCTTGAGCTGAGAATGTAGCTCAGTGGTAGAACCTCCACTTAGCATGTGCGAGGTCTTGGGTTTGATCCCTGGACTGCCTTTTTTTTTTCTTTTTTTTTTTGGTACCTGGGATCAAACCCAGGGTTACTTAACCACTGAGCCCAAGCCCTTTAAGTTTTATTTTGAGACAAGGTCTCACTAAATCCTTAGGGCCTCACTGAGTTCCTCAAGTTGCTCACAAACTTGCAATTTTTCTGCCTCAGCATCTCAAATCACTGTGATTATACTGCATCCAGTGCCGATTTTTTAATTAAACCAGATATAGTGGCACACACCTGTAATCCCAGCACTGTGGGAGGCTGAGGCAGGAGATCCTCAAGTTTGAGACCACCCTTGGCAACTTATCAGACCCCATCTCAAGATTTAAAAACATCTGGTGATACAGTTCAGTGGTAAAGCCTTGACCTGGCATGTGCAAGGTTCTGTGTTCAATTCCGACTACAAAAAAAATAATAATAATAAATTAATAAAAAAATTAGTAAAACTTTCAGTAGCTTCTCTTACCCATATGGAACTAAGTTCATTTTAGGGTCCTCCACGTTCTGATCCAACTGCCCATTATTTCTCACAGGTGTATCATTTCCTAGCTTAGCCATTTTCATTGTATTCCTCTACTGAAACAGAAGCACAGGGATGCTTTCTGTAAATGGTTTTCAGATAAACAATCTACATAGTCATATAAATAATTAATAAAGAGTTAAAAGTTAGAATCTATACCCTAACTAAAGTATCGTAAAGCCTACATCATGTATATTATTAGCAGAATTCCATACAGAAATAGTGTTAGAAGGATAATTGCAAAGGCAAGTGATAACCTCTAAAATAGATTGGTCAAGTTTAGGTCTTGTCTATATCCCTTAAAAAATCAGTTCAATTTATTAATTTTCTATAGTTTAGAAAATGTGTATCATTCTGTTTATAAAAATAAAGATCCACAGACATTTTGGGGAAGCTTTAACAGCTTTGTAGTAGAAACTTCTATAAGAAAATGTTGTTTCTTCATCCACATTAACTTTCTGATCATAACAGTAGAGGCATATTAAAGTCTATAAAAGACAAATCATAAAACATTTCCTCTTTTTCCAAAATAATATAGCATGATAGTTGTTTTTTTTTTTTAATGATGAGCTTCTTTAGTGTATATTGCAAATTATTTCAACTTTTGTGATTAAAACATGGGAAAGTTTTACATTATCACCACTGTTGTGGGAATTAAAGCCATTGTACCTAGTTTTTACATGTTGCAAGTATTTTATTTATTTAAAGGCCATTTAAAACTATTTAGTAAAGGGTATTTTTTTTATTGTTTTGCTTTTTACTCATTCCTCCCCCATAAAACTAGAAATGTTTGGTAATTCCCCAAAATTTTCAGGCTTTTTTTCCCCTACTCACCTTGAGAAATTCTGAAAAGGTATGATAGTTCTCAATTTTTAAATATATATGTTCATGTGTAGAGACAGTTGTATCTTAAATGTTTAAGATGTTTAAGTTTGCTTGACATGTTAAGAATTGTCTCATCAGGCGCAATGGCTCACGCCTGTAATCCCAGCAGCTAAGGAGGCTGAGGCAGGAGGAATGAGAGTTCAAAGCCGGCCTCAGCAACACTGAGGTGCTAAGCAATTCAGTGAGACCCCATCTCTAAATAAAATACAAAATAGGGCTGGGGATGTGGCATGGTGGTCAAGTGCCCCTCCCAACCAAAAAAAAATTGTCTCAGTTGTATTTTGTTTCACTGCCTCAGTAAACATTATAAAACATTTCAAATTTTTTCTTCTTAAGTCTGAGCATGTAGCTCAGTGGTAGAGCATGTGCTTTACATTTTTATCTAGCATTTCTAGAGAATTTTTACATCATTTTGATGTAAACTTTGATGTTTATCATCATAAGTATCTTGGAGAACTTGGTAAAAGCTATACATACATTCCCCAGAAAAATACATTTGTGCACATCTACTTACCCCACCTCAGAGTTAGTCACTATTTCCTGTGTACTGTGCTTTCCTTAGTCCTTTCTATATACATATATATATATATATATATATGAACACTTAAATATACTCTGTATTATAAGTCAGATCATCAACATTCTGTTTTGTAATTTTTTCACTTAGATGTCTGCAAGATATTTTTTCTGGTTTTTGCATCTCAGTTTATATTTTTTAATACCTACAAGGTATTCTGTTCTGTAATATGAATTATTCTTTTCCCTTGAGGAAATTTGGGGTTGTTGCCAGCATTTAGTTTCACCATTAGAAGTAGAGCTACAGAGAATATCTTTAGTTGGTCTTCAACTCCTGGGCTTATTTGATCCTTCTTCCTAAGCCTTCTGAGTAACTGCAACTAGATGCCTGTGATATGTGCTTTTGTGTGTGTGTGTGAGCATGAATTTTTCTGGAATAGAAATACAGACTGAGTATCCTTTATCTGAAATGCTTGGACCCAGAGTGTTTCAAATTTTGGCAATTTTTTTGGATTTTGGAATATTGACAGAGACCTTACTAGTTGTTCATTCCTAATATGAAAATCCACAGTGCTCCAAAATCCAGAAATTTTTGAGCTATGAAGTGTTTCAGATTTCTGATTTTTGGATTAAGATTACTTATGACCCATATTGGAGGCAGAATAATTTTTTTAGTACTTTTTTATTTATTACTTTTTTTTTTATGGTGATACTGGGATTCAAACTCAGAATGTCAGGTATGCCAGGCTAGTGCTCTACCACTGAGTGACATCTCCAGACCCCCTTTTTAAATAAGACTTTACAAAGATCCTGAGCTTTTTGAAAAATTGAAGGAATGGCAGTGTTGAGCCCAAATTTTCATGTTTTATTTATGCTGGATTCAAGACACTGAATTGCCGTTTGTCTGGGAGTATGCTCTCCCCATTTGGCACCGGTATTTCTGCTTTACTTGTTACCTTTCCTACCTCTGTAAGCATTTGAATGTATTAACCCTGTAGTCTAAATGAAACAGGATTGCACCTGAATTTGTTGTGTACTATTGTTAGGAGGGAAGGAGGGAGAAAAAACGCATTGATGAACCAAGATAGGAAGTAACTTAAAAACACAACCAAATAATACTGTGGTTGATATTTATTAAGTTAGATTCTGCTTTTCTGAATATTGCTTTGATAGAAACTGTGATCTCATTTATAAACCCTTTTGTTAACTTAAAATCCAGTAACTTGGAAAACTTCAAGATTTTTATGAGCATATTAGATTCATATTGATGTGTTCTGTTTACATTCAAATTTTTCAAAGAAATGATAATTTAGAACTTTCAGTCATAAGATAATTTACCTAAATCCCTGTTCATACTAGCTCACCATGCCTTCTCCTATGCCTGAGTACCTGAATGTGCACTACATTGGGGAGTCTGCCTCCAGACTGCTGTTCTTATCAATGCACTGGGCACTTTCGATTCCTTCTTTCCAGGCACTAGGGTGAGTGTTTTGAAGTCCTTGAGTATAAATGTGATTTTGTAGCACAAATGTACATTAAGCAAAAAACTTTTATTTTGGGAGAATTTGCATTAAAGGAATAAAAACGTGTAACATTGTGACTTTTAAATTGTGTCATTTATATGACAAATTATGGCAGCTAACTAACAATTTCTCTATATTATTTTTATTTGGGAGAGTATCTATATTTCATAGTTTACTGACCAAGTTAACAACTTTAGTTGGAATATAATAAGTATTAGAGTTGATAGATCATGGCTGGCATTGATAATGGCCGCCTTTGATTGTGTCAAGGACAGTGCAGCTGTAGGATTGCCCCAGGTTGTTTCTCCTCCCACCATCACCCTTGCAGTATTCATTCCAGCCATGTTATTGGGAGCTAAAGTTTGCTTACAAAGGTTATGTTTAAAAATAGAGATAATTATTTTTCTAATTGTGTGGTTCAGTAGAAAAAGAGAAAGGATGAAAATGTAAACCCCATAGTACAATTACAGTGATTTAGAGAGTTGATCTTACCACTGAAGAGTACATCTGTATTCTAAACAGTTTACTTTCACATCCTTTCCATCTGTTTTTCCTTTTTTTAAAATGGATGTCTCTACCCATCCCGATAGACAGTATTTTGAGTGTAACTAAGAAACAACTGAAACATGACAGTAAAAGACATATTTGAAACTGTTATTACTAATCAGTGTCAGACATAGCTATCAGTGTATTCAATCATGAATTAAGTAGTACAATTACATAGGCTAAAAACCTGATTTAGAGTGATAACTATTAAAATGCTATTAGCTCCTTCTCTCAAAACACAGTATAAAATTTTACACAATATCAGTTTATTATTTCCTTCCCCACCACCCCCAGTACTGGGGATTGAACTCAGGGCTTCAGGCAGTAAACTGTACCCCACCCCTTTTTTCTTCAGGCAGGATCTCACTAAATTGCACCAAATCTCACTGTATACTTAATATTTTTAAAGTAATAAACTATCCTGACATTGTGACACACGTCTGTAATCCCAGCTACTCAAGAGGCGAGGCAGCAGGATTGTAAATTTGAGGCCAGCCTAATCAATTTATGAGACCCTGTCTCTAAAGTAAAATAAAGAGCTGGGAATCTATTTCAGTGGTAGAGCAAGGTCCTTGTTTTCAATCCCTAGTACCTTAAAAAAAAAGCTTAGTTCGTTAAGATCATAACTGGTATACTTAGGCCAGAAAAACAACCTGGTATTTTATTGTAGTATGTCAACTAAGAAAGGAATTTGGGGTGTAATTTCAACTCCATGGATTAGTCATGACATCATTGATCTTCAGTGCTTCTTTTGAGTATGATTATCCTATTACAAATAATCCAGATATTGGGGGGCAGCCCGAAGTTTCTGGTTATAAAATAATTTTAGTGTGATTATCACATTTCCCTGAGAGGTCTTTTTTAAAAATCACTTTCAATGTAACAACCACAGGATTCTTTATGATTAGAAGAATTACTAAGATAGCAGTCAAGAACATTAGGTGGTACATAAACTCTTATATCTTATTGCCTGTCTAGATATAGATCTTATGCTGACTTAATCAGATGGATAAGGACTAGATACTAATGATGGAAGAGTATTATGTAGAAATAAAAACTTCTAAATCTAGGAACTGGCATGAGCTGCATTTTTATTGCTAGATACAGAAGTTGGCAAAAAAAAACAACAACATAATTTTACAGAGAGAAACAGATAAGCAGTTTGTTATTTGATGACTTAGTGGAAGAGGATAGTAGCTTTAAAATTTTTTTAATTGTGTAGTTATTTGTATTTTCTAAAGATAATTTCTGAACTTAAAGGAATTCGGGGGTTTTTTTAGTTCTTTCTTCATAATTCAAGTGAAGCTCTACATAGTCATAGGACATTCTGTTGAAGGGCAATGGGGGCACTATGCCTGATTTGCCTGGAGTACGTATGGCAGTAGTCCTTTCCAGCTAGATTCTTTATATTATGTCACCAAAATTCCGAAACAAGAGGCTAGAGTTGTGGCTCAGAGGTAGAGCACTCACCTAGCATGCATGAAGCACTGGGTTTGATCCTCAGCACCACATAAAAATAAAATAAAGATTAAAAAAAAAATCTGAAAAACACTGTTTGCCACAGGAGACTATTAAGTAATTTAAGCAACCTTCCATGAAATGTTAATCCTGAAAGTTGAATCTTTTAAAATACCATAAACAATCTAATATACTGGTAACTTTGTGGGCTTATTGCCATATCATTGATTATTTTCCCCCAAGGACATGCCTTCAGTTGAAATAGATGGTGCCAGGGAAAGAATAATGTGATGAGTTATTTGTGTAGATTACAAATGGTGGGGTATAGGTGATTTAGTCAACTTAATGCTTTTCTGAAGTGCTGGGGATTAAACTCAGGGCCTTGTGCATGGTGGGCAAGTGCTTTACCAGTGAGCTACAATCCCAGCTCCAGTGCCTTTTTTTGATATCGTTATAACCTATATTGCTTTCTGAGTGCTTGAAGGTACCTTAACTTCATTTGCTACCCAGATCCTTCTGCTTCTCGAAAGAAAGATGTTTTGGAAATAGGTAGTAGAATGTGACTACAATAGTCATTTGTTAATTTTTTTCCTAACAGGAAAAAACAAAAATAGAACCTAATAGCCAACATGCCCTTACCATCCCAAAGTATTAGCTTTAAATGAGGTGTCTCTACTGAGAAATTTTACTTT